TTTCTTTCTCCCACTGACACTTCTCCCCAGTCTTTTGACGAGGATCAGAGATTTTTCCCTTGTTTCATCTTTATGATTGTGTTTCCGGTTCCTTCCAATGTCTTTTCATTCTCTTTCACTCCCAGAAACCCCTTGCGTCTTAGTGGCATTATGGCCTTGTTTGGGGTGAACTGATAAAAAAACAACACAAATAAGTAGCATCTCTAAATTTTGTTTGTGACGGTTATATATCTTTAATGGCATTGGTTGTGTCATTAATTATGAAATAAATTTTCGCCCTTTTTTTGGGGGGAATCATCTAGTTTTCTTGGCTTTTCCGAATCAATTTACGGTCTCTTCGTTGAATATTCATTAACAATGCAAATCTTGTTCGAACAACTGAAGTCGCCCTTTGGGTTGCTGGTGTTATTAAACTAACGTTTCGATCTAGCTATTCTTCAGAACACATGAATCCTTAACAAACAAGAAAAAATTATTAACAGCAAAAAAAAGCACTGATTAACCTCCCATCGGACCAATACCGCCCGGCAGCATTTTTCTGTGCCTATTTGTATAATATATTCTCTTCCCTCCTACATACCCTTATGCAAATGTGCTTCTGATGTGTTCATCGTTTTCACTCTATGGCCATTTTCATAAAGAAATATGGTGATTTTCTTGTCTTACAATCGTACGCTTGACGTTCGGGTAGATGGATCTTGACAGCCCATGAAAGCAGTCCATCTACAGCAGTGGCTCTCAACAGCCGTATCGAGGCACATGAGTGTGCCGCGCGATCCTCTTAAGTGTGCTACGAAATATTAATACATTTTGGATTTCCAATGTAAAAGGAATATTCAACATTAACTAAAAAGGCTTTACCAGTTTTATTGCAATTTTCTACTTCTTATTTATTTAAATTAGGCTTCTCAGTCGTAAGTAACATCAAAAATAAGAAGCGATAAAGACTACGCTCAACTGAAGACGAAATGAGGGCCTGCTTCTTGTACATTCAACCAACCATTGAAAAAATCGAAAAAAAAAAAATAAATAAATAAAAATAAAAATAACACAAGGCAAATTTTCGCACTAAATAATCTGCATAAATTGTTGAACAGAAACATTGAAATAAAGTAAGTTCATATTTTTGTGTGCATTTTCTTTTATCTTTCATAACATTTAAATGTATATCCTTTAAAAATGTTTTTAAGTATGCCGTAATATTTTCATTTGTTCCTAGGTGGGCCGTTGCTTAAAAAGGTTGAGAAACACTTGATCTAGGGGAAATAACATTCGATGGAATCCATTGATTCATTTTTGAATTTCAATACAAAAGGAATACCCTACTTTAGGTAAAAAGGCTTTACCAGTTTTATTGCAATTTTCTACTTCTTATTTATTTGAATTAGGCTTCCCAGCCGTAAGTAACATCAAAAATAAGAAGCAAGAAAGACTACGCTCAACTGAAGAAAAAAATGAGGGCCTGCTTCTTGCACATTCGACAAAACATTGAAGAAATCCCCCAAAAAATAACATCAGGAAAGTTTCCACACTAAATAAGCTGCACAAATTGTTGAACAGAAACATTGGAATAAGGTAAGTTCATATTTTTGTGTGTATTTTTTTATCTATAGTTATATTCCATAACATTTAAAAAAATGTTTTTAAGTATGCCGTAATATTTTCATTTGTTCCTAGGTGGGCCGTTGCTTAAAAAGGTTGAGAAACACTGATCTAGGGGAAAGAAAACCCTGATTTTAAACTTCCGCTGCCTTAAGGTCATATCCAGAGCACGGAAAAGGCTATGGAAGTAAACCCAGACAGAAAAGCCGGAGTGGAGACCCGAAGGCGGTTGTCTGCCAACATTGACAACTTCCCGGCAACGCCTGCAGTCAAACTGGTCTCAAATGTAATTCCTTGTATTCCTTTGAATCTTGTCGGTACGGCTGAGTGGAGGGCCTGTACTCTCGGCAGCGTACAGCCTCCATACATCATCTCCTAGGCCTGCACCCTGGAGAGGACACTCCAGTCTCACCACTAAAGGACTGAATTTTGATCAAACAAGGATGGTAGCTACCTTTCTCTCAAGAGATAAACGGACACCTACTTATGCTTGACGAATGCTGAAAAATGTATAGGTCGAAACATTTTCTGTTTGCATTTCCGGGGTGAGGAGTTATCATTATCTTCATTGATTACTAATTGTGAGTTCAAACTCTGGGCCAGGTAGTACATATTTAGACTTAGTGGAAACCGAGTGATCAATAACTGAACAGTGCTAAATGAGAATAAGACGATATATTTGAATTATTTCAAACTATTATTCTCATCTTGCTTCTTTTTTTGTTTTGTTTTTTTTTGCTTGGGGTAATAATGTTCACACAGGAGTCACTCAAGGTAGACGGTCACTAATTGATTTATGAACTGTAAAAAGAGGAAGCAAGAAGTTCAGTCTATGAAGATATGTCGGAAAGAATAACCACGAATAAGAAGAGGTTAACATTGTAAGGATTGGGAAAGCACTCTCTCGGGAGTCTTTTCATCAAAATACTGGTTCTTGGAAAGAAGCTGTCCCCGTGGATCTTCCTACTTACTAATGGAATACGAAAGGGGGTTCGAGAACAGTTGCGTCCCTAGACAAATGCGTCACTGGTTAATTGCGTATTACTGATAATTGTTTGAAGATTTTAAAGGCAATTAACATAAATTTTGAAAAAAAGCATAAGTAGTAATCATAAATTTAAAAAAAGGAATAAAAGTAATAAAATAAAAAATATTAAAAGTTTATTTTTGTTTAAAATGCAATAACAGATTAACAATTTTGCAAGATCGCTCTACACATCGCCAGTATGTTCTTGTTTCGTCGGCGTTTTTCTTATGTTAGTGGTAGCTGTAATTTTCCCCGTCCACAAATATTTTTCCACCAGTGTTTGATTTTTGGAATTTAGCCATGGGTCCCAAACAAAAAATATAATCTACAAAATACGGAATCTATTAGACGTTCGTGGTATGAACTCCATGAGTGAATTGAAACTGCTAGCTTAATTTTCTCTTGTTTTAAAAAAATAATTGTTCTCTTTATTATTTATGGTAACTACCTTTCTGTTTGTTTCGAGTAATTAAAGGTACTGGTGTGCAAATTTCTATGATAAACGATTCTTTAAAAAAAATGGTAACTTCAAAAAAATCATCAGGGGTACGCAATTATCCAGGACGCATTTGTCTAGGGATGCAATTGTACGGGAGGCAAATGTCCGGTATACAACTGTCCGTCCAACCTTATTCGTTACAAGATAGAGATCAGACCGGAACCTCCTATTTACAAAACTTCTTTCTGCTACCAGCGCACTGACTGCTTCCTGTCGAATACACGATCTCATAAAATTAATCTACATATTGGATCAATAAGAAATTGATTATGACAATGGGGAAACAAAGAAATAAGTGTTGAACTGCTATGTAATATCAATCTCTATCTATAAAAGGCAGGATGTGTGGTGTGTGTGTGTGTGTTTGTGTGTGTGTGTGTGTAACGAATGCACAGCCGCAATTTTCGACGGATTTGCAACAAAATTTACATGCGCATGCTTCAAGTTAGCGGAAGGCCAAGACCGACTTTGCATTTCCCAATTCCCATCGATAGTGGAAATAATCGATTTTTTTCATGCTTCTACGGCAGTTTTCATGTAGTTTGAGGCCATTTTGTACTGGCCACAGTGAGAGCCAATAGCTGGCTGCCACAAATAGGCAGGAAGATTCTATTGGCCAGCGTGAGAGCCAACAGCTGATTAACACGAATGTTAACTAGCATGCAAAAAAAATCGATAGCTTCATTCGTCACAAGTGGGAAAAATTTAAATCTGTATGGCACTTTACTCCAATTGGCTCATTCGCTTGCTTAAACCCAACGTTGATTCTGATTCCGCAGAACTGGGTTGGGTGTGAAAAAGTATTTGTTGTTAACATTCTTTTTTCATTCGGTTTTTCCAGTTACGAGTCCTTTTTTAAAGCTGATCGTTTTGTGTTCATTTTGTTTAGTTCTTTTTTCGTAACAGATTTAATGTTTAGTATAGAGCTTAGAAAAAATTCGCAGTGTGAGATAGACAAGAAGTAAGGCATGTAGCAACATCAGCACGGCAAAGGACACTCCTTGAAAGGCAAGGAAGGGCAAAAATATTTTAAGTCAATTGATAGCGATTGCTGTATGAGTCGTACGATTTTTTAATCAAGCACGGGCAACGCCGGGCCATGCTGCTAGTCTTCTTATATTGCTAATGGTTACTGAACATTTTCCTAACAGATGAAGAGAAGACTTAAGGCATCAGGAATGTGACTCTACAGAAGGATGCTGAGAATAACAAGGAGTCTGTGAACAACGAGAAAGTTTTAATGAAAATGAAAGCAATAAGGACGGCTATACATAAAATAAGAAAGAGAGAGTTGAAATTTATGGGAAAGGAAGCTTGGAAAATTTAACATTCACATAACCTATTGAAAGCAAGAGTGACAAATTATCTAGAGACGCAAATGTTCAGGGACGTAATTGTCTGGTACGCAAATATCCAGGACACAAATGTCCTGTAATGCGACTGTAATGCGAACAATCTACCCCCGTAGATCGAATAATATGTTCAATTCGAATTTAACTGAAGGTTACCCGGATGAACAAATACCTGATGAAGGCTGGTAGACACGACGACCGAAACGTTGTGATAAGATGAAGACAATAATCTGATGAGAAACAATATAAATGCTGCCTTGACATGAAAGAGATATTCCATTATCCGAACAAAATTGTGAATGTTTATATTTGTTTTTATTCCCAATAAAATACCATGCTTGAACACTAACCGAAGAAAAGTCTAGTATCTCAAGTTTCAATGGAAGACCTCGCTTTCATGACCATGCGCCAAATAAGACCCGGTCTTGTAAAAAACGTATTAGTACAATATATTCCCTCCTGCCATAGATAGCCTTATACAAACGTACCCCTGCTTTATTCGGATGCGTACTATTTGTCG